GTACCGATCATACCTTTTACAATTAACGTAGCACGCTATATTTTATGTCCAATAGGCCTATTAGAGATCGTATACACGATACCAGCATCATTTATGAAGAGACTACGATTTACTGAATGATGACTGATACGGACCTAAGCGCAGTATAGATACTTTAACAAAAATGGTGCGAGGTAATAAAATTTGCAAAGTCGTCTACATCGACTAACAAATTAATGAAATTTGTTTTCAAATATCTCAAGTTTCATCATGTTTAGACTTACCACAATTTTGAAGATGTAGACAAACACTGCAGTCCCTCTTCATAGGAGAATAGATGCACGTTAAATAACTATTTCCATGTGAATATAAATCAGTCCTGTTCGAGTTTTCATGCCCTGTTGACAACAAACATTACAAATGACATATTGCAATAAACTTCACTGGAAAATATACTGTAAAGAATGTGATCAACAAAACTGTAAGAATGGAGCTACCACTAGCAGCAAAAGGTATTGGAAACTTTTGGAAATAATTTCCCCTTCTGGCGGAAGAAGTCGTTTGAGATAGATAAAAACCCTTATTCCATAGTTGACTGTCAGTAATTCCCTGAATGATTAGTTAAATCTGCGCATCATTTAAATATGTATGACTACATTTTATATATGTATATATATATATATATATATATATATATTCGGCATAAATATATGAAAACAACTAAATTCTGATGATAAACGCAAGCTTATTCAACTGTAACTCATTCTTAGGTCAATAAATTACAATTATAAAGATGTCGCCGTACATGAAAACATACTAAGAAAAAAAAAGCTAGGTTTGTGTACCCCGTATAAGGGTACCCCAATTGAGAAGACACTACAATAAAGCACTTTTTTGGTCCCAAAGTGTCCTTTTAATAGGATTCTACTGTATATGGAAGCATTGTAGTGTCTCAGTAAGAACAATTTGATACACATACTTATTAAAGAAACGAATTACCTAAACCAGTGTTTCAATTTTATTTTATTGACGAAAAGACGAGTTTTGTTGTGTATTGTGACTCGTGTGATTACATGCGCCTAAACTTGTTCTGTCGGCTCTAATTTGACTCTAATTTTTCGCTTAAGGGCCCAGGCATATTATTATCCCACACTGGAGCACCATATTCGATAAAACGTCAGATACAGGTAAGATAGATATTTATTAGTGATACTGCAATTACTTGGTCTAACATATTTAGGGTTTATGGCTTTGTTCGATATAACATCATAATGTGAATTTTCCAGGATATATCCAACCTGAATTTCTCTCCTAGGCGAAATATTTCCAATTAATTTTACTTACAGGACACATGCCTCTTTCAACTTAAATTATATTTACCAAAATAGTGTATATACATATATGTAAAAATGTCATCTGGTAGTGATAACATAAGTAATATTATTCTTAAACTTGGTGCTCCTACCATCTCTCAACCTTTGTGTATGCTCTTTAACTTTCCCTAGAGTATGGAAAATGGCCAATATACACCCTGTCCATAAAGGTGGTAAAAAAAAAGGTCTTTAACTACAGGCCTGTTTCTATTGTCCCTACTATTGCTAAGATATATGAACGTATAATTCATGATGTGTTATATGACCATGTTGCTCCTGCACTTTCAATTGCTCAGCATGGATTTATTCCTAAGCGTTCTTGTACTACTAATTTAGCTAACTTTTTAATTGTTGCATATAATGCTCTCAATAATAACTCTCAGTGTCATGTAATATATACTGACTTTTCAAATGCATTTGACCGAGTTAATCACGATCTACTCATTTACAAGATCTCTATATTCGACGTTACTGGTAACTTATTGAAACTCCTTCGTAGCTATCTTACACATAGAGAACAGAGAGTTATTATTGATGGTGCTACGTCTGAATGGACATCGGTACAATCTGGTGTTTCCTCAAGGCACTATTTTAGGCCCTTTATGTTTTAATCTTTTCATCAATGACTTGCCTCATAATTTTACTTCGCAATGTCTATTATATGCTGATGACCTTAAATTGCTCCGACTGGTTAGTAAGATTGACGATGCCAAATCTATTCAAGACGATTTAGATATATTGTACTTATGGTGCAACACTTGGGAAATGTCCCTCAACTTAAACAAATGCAAGATTTTAACTATCACACTTCAACAACGTAAAATTTCTTTCCCTTATAATGTTAACGGCCACGTCTTGGAGGTCGTATATTTTCACCGTGACCTTGGTATTACTATTGATTCTAAGTTGACTTTTAATGAGCATATAAAACAGGTTTGCTGCAAAAGTAATAGAACGCTAGGCCTAATTAAACGCAACTGTTGGAATATTTAGAACCAAAAAGCATTACCTATTCTGTATTGTTCACTTGTTAGACCTTATATGGAATAAAATTCTGTTATTTTTAATTGCATGTCTAATACATGCCTTACTAGAATTAATGTTATTCAAAAACGATTTGTTAAATTTGTTTCTCGTACTTGTAATACCCCTTCCAATTATATCATTCTTCCTACTTTAAGTTCTAGACTAAATTACCTTGATTTTCTCTATTTTTTATAATTGCGTTAATGAAGTTTATGGTTCTGATCTTATTTCCGTTTTTGGTTTATCAGTTAAAACTTATCGATGTCGTAATTCTATCAGTTCCTTATTCAATGTTAAATTTTC